GAATTCTGGGAATTCTGGGAATTCCGGGAATTCTGGGATTGATGGGGGGGCGGGGCTCACCCGCCAGGCTCCGATGGCGGCTCCAGGGAATTGCGGGAGTGCTGGGAATGTCGGGAATTCTGGGAATTCTGGGAATTCCAGGAATTGAGGGCAGGGCCCACGTGTCAGGTCGTGATCCCGGCTCCAGGGAGGTTTGGGAATGTTGGGAATTCTGGGAACGCTCAGGGATGGGAATTCTGGGAATGGGGGGCGGGGCTTACCCCTCAGATCCTGATCCCCCTCTCAGGAATTTTGGGAATTCTGGGAATTGCATGAATCGGGGGTGGGGCTCATCCATGAGGTTCTGATCCCAGCTCTGGAAGGTTCCGGGAATGTTGGGAATTCTGGGAATTCTGGGAATTCCGGGATTGATGGGGGGTTGGGGCTCACCCGTCGGGCTCGGCGGGCGGCTCCAGGGAATGCCGGGAGTGGCGGGAATGTCGGGAATGGTGGGGGACGGGCACCTTGTTCATGATGAACACCATCACCTCCGACTGCTGGTACGGCGGCAGCGTGCCCGAGAACGAGCCTGGCGGGAACCGCACCGGAATGACGGGAATGACGGGAATAACAGCGGGAATCGCCACACCGGGAACCGCCACACCGGAATGACACCGCACCGGAATGACACCACCGGGAATAACAGGAATGATGGGAATAACAGCGGGAATCACCACACCGGGAATAACCACACCGGAATGACCACACCGGGAATCAATCGCCACACCGGGAATCGCCGCACCGGGAATGACGGGAATAACCGCAGCGGGAATGACCACACCGGGAATCGCCACACCGGGAATCGCCGCACCGGAATGACACCACACCGGAATGACACCACACCGGGAATAACCGCACCGGGAACGACGGGAATGACCGCAGCGGGAATGACGGGAATGACGGGAATAATAACGGCGGGAATAACGGGAATAACAACGTTGGGGACAGCGGGAATGACGACAGCGGGAATGACGGGAATAACGACAGAGGGAATACCGGGAATAATGGGAATGACGGGAATGACGACAGAGGGAACGACAGCAGGAATGACGACAGCGGGAGTGACGGGAATAACCACAGCGGGAATGTCGACAGCGGGAATAACGACAGCAGGAATTATGGGAATAATGACAGCGGGAATGGCGGGAATGACGGGAATAACGGCGGGAATGAGAGCGGGAATGAGGATGGCGGGAATTATGGGAATGATGGGAATGACGGCGGGAATGACGGGAATAACGACAGCAGGAATGACAATGGGAATAACGATGTCAGGAATTATGGGAATGATGGGAATAACACTGGGAATAACCACCGCGGGAATAACCACAGCGGGAATGACGATGGTGGGAATGACGACGGGAATAACGGCAATAACGGTGGGAATGGTGGGAATGGTGGGAATGACAGGAATGGGAATGGTGGGAATGGTGGGAATGGGACTAATGGGAATGGCAGGAATGGGAATGGGAATGATGGGAATGATGGGAATAACGGCGGGAATGACAGTGGGAATGATGACGTCGGGAATAACGGGAATAACAGGGGGAATGACAATGGTGGGAATTATGGGAATGACAGTGGGAACGACGGGAATAACGACAGCGGGAATGACGACGTCGGGAATGATGGGAATGATGGGAATGACGGCGGAATGGGAATAACAACAGCGGGAATGACAACGGGAATGACATTGGGAATAACGGGAATGACGGCGGGAACGACGGGAATAACGATGGTGGGAATGACGACGGGAATAATGGGAATAACGGGAATGACGATGGCGGGAATGGGGGGAATGACGGTGGGAATGGTGGGAATGGCAGGAATGACAATTGGAATGACAGGAATCGGAATGGTGGGAATGGTGGGAATGGGACTAATGGGAATGACAGGAATGGGAATGGGAATGATGGGAATCATGGGAATGGCAGGAATGCAAATATCGGGAATGGTGGGGATTCTGGGAATGATGGGAATGGTTGGAATAATGGGAATGGGAATGGTGGAAATGGGACTGATGGGAATGCTAGGAATGCTGGGAATGATGGGAGTTATGGGAGTTATGGGAATGCTGGGAATGCTGGGGGATGGGAATGGTGGGAACGATGGGAATGGTGGGAATGACAGGAATGGGAATAACGGGGGTGATGGGAATGGTGGGAATGACAATGGGAATAACGGGAATGGGAACAAGGATGGTGGGAATGATGGAAATCATGGGAATGGCAGGAATGCAAATATCGGGAATGGTGGGAATGATGGGAATGGCAGGAATGGGAATGGTGGGAATGACGGGAATGATGGGAATGACAGGAATAACAGGAATGGGAATGGTGGGAATGATGGGAATGGGAAAAACAGGAATGGGAATAATGGGAACGGGAATGATGGGAATAAAGGTGGGAATTATTGGAATGGTGGGAATGGCAGAAATGGGAACAAGGACGGTGGGAATGATGGGAATGATGGGAATGATGGGAATGGGAATGGTGGAAACAGCAGGAATGACCATGGGAACAACAGCGGGAAAAATGGGAATGAGAACGGGAAGAATGGGAATAATGGGAATGGTGGGAATGGGAATAGCAGTGGGAATGGGAATTTTATGGGAATAATGACAATGGGATTGGTGGGAATTGGAAGAACGGGAATGATGGGAATGGGAATGGCGGGAAGAATGGGAATGGTGGGAAAAATGGGAATAATGAGCACGATAAACATGGGAATACTGGGAATAACGGGAATGATGGGGATGGTGGGGATAATGGGAATTAATGGGAATATCAGGAATGGGAACAGGGAAAACGGGAACAGGAGCAGGACTGGGAATAATGGGAATGGAACAGGGATTGGAATGGGAATGGTGGGAATGATGGGAATGGGAATAACGGGAAGCATGGGAGGATGACGGGAATTATGAGAATTCGGGAATCATGGGAATAGTGGGAATTATGGGAATGATGGGAGAGGGAGCGAACGACGGGAATGGGAATAACAGGAATGACAATGGGAAAAATGGGAATGATGGGAAAATGCAAACAATACCAGGAAACGCCAGGAAAATCCCGGAAAACCATGAAAAATCCCAGAAAATCCAGGAAAAAGCTCAAAAAATCCTGGGAAATCCAAGAAAAGTCCCAGAAAATCATGGAACATCCTGGAAAAATCCCATAAATCCCAGAAAAATCTTGGAAAATCACATAAAATCCCATTAAAAAAACCCAGAAAATCCCATTAAAAACCCATAAAATTCAGGACAATCCCCAAATCATCCTGGAAAATCCTGGGAAAATCCCAGAAAAAGAATATAATAAAAAATCAGGGGAAAATCCCAGAAAATCAAGGAAAAATCCTGGAAAATCCAGGAAAAATCCTGGAAAAAAATCCCATTGAATTCCATAAACCCCCCCCCCCAAAATCCCCCGAAAATGCCCCAAATTGGGAATTCTCACCGATGGTTTTGATGACGGCCTCCTGGAATTTGGTCTCCTCGAGCTGCCGGGATTTTTGGGAATTGGCGGCTCCGGAATTCCCGGAATTCCCGGCCAGGGCGAGGTCGATGCTGAGGCGCAGCTGCCGCAGGAGGGTGTTGAACACCTCCAGCACCGTGGGGCCTGGGGGAAAAAACGGGAATTTTGGGAATTCTGGGAATTTTGGGAAATTTGGAAACTTGGGAATTGCAGAACGCCCTGGGAAATCTTGAAAAAATCTGGGAAATTCCAAAAAAAATCCGGGAAAATGGCTGAAAATCTTGGGAAAATCACCCCAAAAATCACCCAAAAATCCAAGAAAAATGCAATAAAATCGTGGAAAATTTGGGGAAATCCCAGAAAATCATGGAAAATCCCAAAATATCCCAGTAGATCCCAGAAAACTGGGGGGAAAATCATGGAAAATCCCAAAATATCCCAGTAAATCACAGAGAAATAATGAAAAATCCTGGAAAAATCCAGGAAAATCCCAGGAAATCATCAAAATCCCCAAGAGCTCCTACCAGACCCTTTCCCCAGTGGAATTTTGGGGAATTTTCCCCAACCCCTTCCCGAATTTTGGTGAAATTTTGGGAATTGTTTGGGTACCGACGGCTCCGGTGAGCACGGCCACGATGCCGGCAGGGAAATCCCAGAAAATCCCAAAAATCCCAGAAAATTCCAGAAAATCTTGGAAAAATCCTGGAAAATCCTATGAAAATTCTGGAAAAATCCAAGAAAAATCATGGGAAAATCCTAGAAAATCTCAGAAAATAATGAAAAACCTTGGAAAAATCCTGAAAATCCTAGAAAAATCCCTGAATATCTTGGGAAAAATTTTAAAAAATCCCAGAAAAAATCCAAAAAATGCAGGAAAATCCAGGACAAAATTCTTTAAAATCCCAGAAAAATCCCCCAAAAATCCTAGAAAAACCTGGAAATCCCAGACTAAATCCTGGAGAAATCTTTGAAAAATCCCAGAAAAAAAAAAAATTTAAAAAAATTGTAGAAAATGTCATAAAATCCCAAAAAAAAAAAAACCCGCAGAAAAATCCTGGAAAAATCCCCCAAAATAATTTAACAATCCCAGAAAATCCCGGAAAATCCCCAGGAACTCATCCCGAACCCTTTCCCAAACGCTCTCCACGATCCCCTTCCTGAATTTCTGAATTCCCGAGGAATTTTGGGAATTGTTTGGGTACCGACGGCTCCGGTGGCGGCGATGGCGGCGGCCTCGGAGAGCACGGCCACGATGCCGGCACTGAAACCCCAGAAATCCCAAAAATCCCAGAAAACTTTGAAAAATCCCCAAAAAATCCCAACAAAATCCTGGAAAATCGTGAGGAACCCCAAAAAAATCCCAGAAAAAATCCTTGAAAATTATGGAAAAATTCTGGTAAAATCCCAGAGAATCTCAGAAAAAACCCCTAAAAATAATGAAAAGTCACGCACAAAATCCCTGAAAAGTCCTAAAAAATTCTGGAAAATCCCCAAAAAACCCCCAGAAAAATCCTGGAAAATGCCTGAAAATTCCAGAAGAATCAGTGGAAAGTGGCAGAAAATCCCAGGAAAGTCCTGAAAAATCTCAGAAAAATCCCAGAAAAATCTCATAAAATCTCAGAAAAATCTCAGAAAAATCCCTGAAAATCATGAAAAATCCTGGAAAAATGCCAACAAATCCCAGAAAATCCCAGGAAAATAATGGAAAATATTGGAAATATCACAGAAAAATCCTGGAAAAATCCCCCAAAATAATTTAACAATCCCAGAAAATCCCGGAAAATCCCCAGGAACTCATCCCGAACCCTTTCCCAAACGCTCTCCACGATCCCCTTCCTGAATTTCTGAATTCCCGAGGAATTTTGGGAATTGTTTGGGTACCGACGGCTCCGGTGGCGGCGATGGCGGCGGCCTCGGAGAGCACGGCCACGATGCCGGCGCGCACGGGCGCGGCGCTGCGGCTGTTGGCGTCCAGGTGGCTCAGGAGCTGCTGGATCACCAGGTGCGAGTGCTGGGGCTGCAAAAACGGGAACGCCGGCTCGGAATTCCGGGAATTTCGGGGATAATCCCGAAAATCCAGGAGAAATCCCAGGAAAATTCCGGAAAAACCCTGGAGAAATCTCAGGAAAAATCTCAGGAGAAATCCCAGAAAATCTCAGGAAAATCCCAGGAATGTCAGCCTGGAACGCTGGGGCTGGGAAAACAGGAATGCCGGCTCGGAATTCCGGGAAAAAATCCGGGATAACCCCGAAAATCCAGGAGAAATCCCAGGAAAATTCCGGAAAAACCCTGGAGAAATCTCAGGAAAATTCTGGAAATCCCGGAAAAATCTCAAGAAAATCCCAGGAAATCTTGGAAAAATCCCAGAAAATCTCAGGAAAATTCAGAGAAATCACAGAAAAATAATAATAATATAATATGTATTATAATAATAATGTAATATATAAAAATAATATAATATATAAAAAATAATATAATATATAAAAATAATTTAAAAAAAAAATCTTGGAGAAATCCCATGAAAATCCCAAGATTTTCAGCTCGGAATTCTGGAAATTTCCAGGAAAATCCCTGAAAATCCTGGAAAAGTCCCAGAAAATCCAAGAAAATTCCAGGAAATCCCTGAAAGTTCCCAGAAAAATCCCAAAGAAATCCCAGGAAATCCCTGAAAATTCCCAGAAAAATCCCAGAGAAATCCCAGGAAAATCTGAGAAAAATCCTGGAAAATTCCCAGAAAATCCAGGAATATCCCGGAAAATCTTGGAGAAGTCTCAGGAAAATCCCAGAAAATCTCAGGAAAATCCCAGGAATGTCAGCTTGGAATGCTGGGGCTGGGAAAAAACGGAAATGCAGGCTCGGAATTCCATGAAAAATTCCGGGATAATCCCAAAAATCCAGGAGAAATCCAAGAGGAATCTTGAAAATCCCCCAAAAATCCCCCAGGAAAATCCAAGAGAAATCCTGGAGAAATCCTGAGAAATTCCCAGAAATATCCCAGAAAAATCTCGGGAATTTCAGCGCGGAATTCCAGGAATTTCCAGAAAGTCCCAGAAAAGTCCCTGAAAATCTTGGAAAAACCCAGACAATCCCAGGAAATCCCAGAAAATGCAGGAAAAATCCTGAAAATCTTGGGAAAATCTCAGGAAAATCCCAGGAATATCATCCTGGAATGTTGGGGCTGGGAAAATGGGAATGGAGGCTCGGAATTCCGGGAATTTCCGGGATAATCCCAGGAATTTCCTGGAAAATCCCAGAAAATCCTGAAAATCTTGGGAAAATCTCAAAATCTCCACTGGGAAAATCCAGGAGAAATCTCAGGAAAATCCCAGGAATAACATCCTGGAATGTTGGGGCTGGAAAAATGGGAATGGAGGCTCGGAATTCCGGGAATTTCCGGGATAATCCCAGGAATTTCCTGGAAAATCCCAGAAAATCCTGGGAAAGTGCTGACAAATCCCATAAATCTCACCGTTTTCCCCAGAAATCCTGCTTTTTTTTTCCAGAATTCCCAAGGTTTTTCTGGAATTCCCACAGTTTTCCCAGTGGAATTTTCAAGCTTTTCCTGGAATTCCCGCAGTTTTTCCCCGGAATTCCCAAGGTTTTTCCTCAATTCCCACTGGAATTCCTGCTATTTTTTTCCCAGAATTCCCTTTTTTCCCTGGAATTTCTGTACTTTTTTCCCAAAATTTCCACATTTTCTCCCAAAATTCCGAAGGTTTTTTCTCAGAATTTCCACAATTTATCCTGGAATTCCTGCAGTGTTTCCCAGAATTCCCTCTTTTCATGGAATTCCCACTTTTTTTCCCAGAATTGCCACATTTTTTTTCTCCAGAATTTCCACAGTATTTCCTAAAATTCCTGCTTTTTTCTCCAGAATGCCAACTTTTTTCCCTGGAATTCCTGTGGTATTTTTTCCCAGAATTCCTGTGCTTTTTCACAGAATTCCTGCAGGTTTTTCCCAGAATTCCAACATTTTTTCCAAAATTCCCGCATTTTTTCCCAGAATTCCCAGGGTTTTTCCCAGAATTCCAACATTTTTTCCAAAATTCCCGCATTTTTTCCCAGAATTCCCAGGGTTTTTCCCAGAATTCCAACATTTTTTCCAAAATTCCCGCATTTTTTCCCAGAATTCCCAGGGTTTTTCCCAGAATTCCAACATTTTTTCCCAGAATCCCCGCATTGTTTCCCAGAATTCCCGCATTTTTTCCCCAGAATTCCCACATTTTTTCCCAGAATTCCCCATATTTCTCCCAGAATTCCCAAGGTTTTCCCCAAAATCCCCATGTTTTCTCCCAGAATTCCCGCATTTTCTCCCAGAATTCCCATTTTTTCTCCCAGAATTCCTGCATTTTCTCCCAGAATTCCCACATTTTCTCCCAGAATTCCCATTTTTCCCCAGAATTCCCACATTTTCTCTCAGAATTCCCATTTTCCCCCAGAATTCCCGCATTTTCCCCGTTTTTCCCACCTGGATGGAGAACATGATGATCCGGAAGCAGCCGCGGGCGAACACCTGCGGCTCCCACAGGGCGTGGCTGTCCAGGTGCCTGCACAAAACACCCCAAAATCACCTTTTCTTCCCCCAAAAAATCCTGGTTTTTCCCCAAAAAAGTCCCCATTTTTTCCCCCAAAAAAGTCCCCATTTTTTTTCCCCAAAATGTCCCCATTTTTTCCCCAATAAATCCCCATTTTTCTCTCAAAAAAAATCCCCATTTTTTCCCGAAAAAAACCCCATTTAACCCCTAAAAAATCCCCATTTTTCCCCCATAAATCCCCATTTTTCCCAATAAATCCCCATTTTTTGGATGGAGAACATGATGATCCGGAAGCAGCCACGGGCGAACACCTGCGGCTCCCACAGGGCGTGGCTGTCCAGGTGCCTGCACAAAACACCCCAAAATCACCTTTTTTCCCCCCAAAAAATCCCCATTTTTCCCCCATAAATCCCCATTTTTCCCAATAAATCCCCATCTTTTCCCCCATATTCCCCATACTTTTCCTGCAAAAATTCCATTTTTCCCCCATGAATCCCCATAACTTTTCCCCATCAATCCCCATAATTTTCCCCCCAAAAATCCCCATTTCCCCCAAAAAAATTCTCGTTTTTCCCCCATAAATCCCCAATATTTTTCCCAAAAAATCTCCATATTTTTTCAAAAAATTTCCATTTTTTTCCCAAATTTGTCCCCCATAAATCCCGTATTTTTTCCCAAAAATTCCCATTTTCCTCCCATTTTTCCCCCATAAATCCCAATTTTTTTCCCCATAAATCCCATATTTTTTCCCATAAATTCCCATTTCCCTCCCATTTTTTCCCCCATAAATCCCAATTTTTTTCCCCATAAATCCCATATTTTTTCCCATAAATTCCCATTTCCCTCCCATTTTTTCCCCCATAAATCCCAATTTTTTTCCCCATAAATCCCGTATTTTTTCCCAAAAATTCCCATTTTCCTCCCATTTTTCCCCCATAAATCCCAATTTTTTTCCCCATAAATCCCATATTTTTTCCCATAAATTCCCATTTCCCTCCCATTTTTTCCCCCATAAATCCCAACTCGGAATTCTGGAAATTTCCAGGAAAATCCCTGAAAATCCTGGAAAAGTCCCAGAAAATCCAAGAAAATTCCAGGAAATCCCTGAAAATTCCCAGAAAAATCCCAGAGAAATCCCAGGAAAATCTGAGAAAAATCCTGGAAAATTCCCAGAAAATCCAGGAATATCCCGGAAAATCTTGGAGAAGTCTCAGGAAAATCCCAGAAAATCTCAGGAAAATCCCAGGAATGTCAGCTTGGAATGCTGGGGCTGGGAAAAAACGGAAATGCAGGCTCGGAATTCCATGAAAAATTCCGGGATAATCCCAAAAATCCAGGAGAAATCCAAGAGGAATCTTGAAAATCCCCCAAAAATCCCCCAGGAAAATCCAAGAGAAATCCTGGAGAAATCCTGAGAAATTCCCAGAAATATCCCAGAAAAATCTCGGGAATTTCAGCGCGGAATTCCAGGAATTTCCAGAAAGTCCCAGAAAAGTCCCTGAAAATCTTGGAAAAACCCAGACAATCCCAGGAAATCCCAGAAAATGCAGGAAAAATCCTGAAAATCTTGGGAAAATCTCAAAATCTCCACTGGGAAAATCCAGGAGAAATCTCAGGAAAATCCCAGGAATAACATCCTGGAATGTTGGGGCTGGAAAAATGGGAATGGAGGCTCGGAATTCCGGGAATTTCCGGGATAATCCCAGGAATTTCCAGGAAAATCCCAGAAAATCCTGGGAAAGTGCTGACAAATCCCATAAATCTCGCCGTTTTCCCCAGAAATCCTGCATTTTTTTTCCAGAATTCCCAAGGTTTTTCTGGAATTCCCACGGTTTTCCCAGTGGAATTTTCAAGCTTTTCCTGGAATTCCCGCAGTTTTTCCCGGAATTCCCAAGGTTTTTCCTCAATTCCCACTGGAATTCCTGCTATTGTTTTTCCCAGAATTCCCTTTTTTCCCTGGAATTTCTGGTTTTTTTTCCCAAAATTTCCACATTTTCTCCCAAAATTCCGAAGGTTTTTTCTCAGAATTTCCACAATTTATCCTGGAATTCCTGCAGTGTTTCCCAGAATTCCCTCTTTTCATGGAATTCCCACTTTTTTTCCCAGAATTGCCACATTTTTTTTCTCCAGAATTTCCACAGTATTTCCTAAAATTCCTGCTTTTTTCTCCAGAATGGCAACTTTTTTCCCTGGAATTCCTGTTGTATTTTTTCCCAGAATTCCTGTGCTTTTTCACAGAATTCCTGCAGGTTTTTCCCAGAATTCCAACATTTTTTCCAAAATTCCCGCATTTTTTCCCAGAATTCCCAGGGTTTTTCCCAGAATTCCAACATTTTTTCCCAGAATCCCCGCATTGTTTCCCAGAATTCCCACATTTTTTCCCCAGAATTCCCACATTTTTTCCCAGAATTCCCCATATTTCTCCCAGAATTCCCAAGGTTTTCCCCAAAATCCCCATGTTTTCTCCCAGAATTCCCGCATTTTCTCCCAGAATTCCCATTTTTTCTCCCAGAATTCCTGCATTTTCTCCCAGAATTCCCACATTTTCTCCCAGAATTCCCATTTTCTCCCAGAATTCCCACATTTTCTCTCAGAATTCCCATTTTCCCCCAGAATTCCCGCATTTTCCCCGTTTTTCCCACCTGGATGGAGAACATGATGATCCGGAAGCAGCCGCGGGCGAACACCTGCGGCTCCCACAGGGCGTGGCTGTCCAGGTGCCTGCACAAAACACCCCAAAATCACCCTTTCTTCCCCCAAAAAATCCTGGTTTTTCCCCAAAAAAGTCCCCATTTTTTCCCCCAAAAAAGTCCCCATTTTTTTTCCCCAAAATGTCCCCATTTTTTCCCCAATAAATCCCCATTTTTCTCTCAAAAAAAATCCCCATTTTTTCCCGAAAAAAACCCCATTTAACCCCTAAAAAATCCCCATTTTTCCCCCATAAATCCCCATTTTTCCCAATAAATCCCCATTTTTTCCCCCATATTCCCCATACTTTTCCTGCAAAAATTCCATTTTTCCCCCATGAATCCCCATAACTTTTCCCCATCAATCCCCATAATTTTCCCCCCCAAAAATTCTCATTTTTTCCCATAAATCCCCATTTTTCCCCCATAAATCCCCAATATTTTTCCCCCACAAATCCCCAATATTTTTCAAAAAAAATCTCCATATTTTTTCCAAAAAATTTCCATTTTTTTCCCAAATTTGTCCCCCATAAATCCCCAATATTTTTCCCAAAAAATCTCCATATTTTTTCAAAAAATTTCCATTTTTTTCCCAAATTTGTCCCCCATAAATCCCGTATTTTTTCCCAAAAATTCCCATTTTCCTCCCATTTTTCCCCCATAAATCCCAATTTTTTTCCCCATCAATCCCCATAATTTTCCCCCCCAAAAATTCTCATTTTTTCCCATAAATCCCCATTTTTCCCCCATAAATCCCCAATATTTTTCCCCCATGAATCCCCATAACTTTTCCCCATCAATCCCCATAATTTTCCCCCCAAAAATCCCCATTTCCCCCAAAAAAATTCTCGTTTTTCCCCCATAAATCCCCAATATTTTTCCCAAAAAATCTCCATATTTTTTCAAAAAATTTCCATTTTTTTCCCAAATTTGTCCCCCATAAATCCCGTATTTTTTCCCAAAAATTCCCATTTTCCTCCCATTTTTCCCCCATAAATCCCAATTTTTTTCCCCATAAATCCCCATAATTTTTCCCCCAAAAAATCCCCATTTCCCCCCAAAAAACTCTCTTTTTTTCCCATAAATCCCCATTTTTCCCCCATAAATCCCCAATATTTTTCCCCCATGAATCCCCAATATTTCTCCCCAAAAATCCCCAATATTTTTTTTAAAAATTTCCGGTTTTTTCTCAAATTTTCCCCCCATAAATCCCATATTTTTTCCCATAAATTCCCATTTTCCTCCCATTTTTTTCCCCGATAAATCCCTTTTTTCCCCCCATAAGTCCCGTATTTTTTCCTATATATTCCCATTTCCCTCCCATTTTTTCCCTATAAATCCAGTATTTTTTCCCTTCCCACCCCTCTCCCATTCCCCCACCCCATTCCTGTTTCCCTTTTCTCACTTTTCCCATCCCCACTTTTCCCTCCCCATTCCCATATTTCCCTCCCCATTTCAATTTTCCCACCACACTCCGAACTTTGCCATAACCCATTCCCACTTTTCTCACCCCATTCCCAAATTTTCCCACCCCATTCCCATATTCCCCACCCCATTCCCAAATTTCCCACCCCATTCCCATTTTCCCTTTTCTCACTTTTCCCATCCCCACTTTTCCCACCCCATCCCCATTTTCCCATCCCCATTCCCACTTTTCCCACCCCATTCCCATTTTCCCATCCCCACTCCCACTTTTCCCACCCCATCCCCATTCTCCCACCCCATCCTTCGTGATCCCAAATTCTTCTCCCGATCCCAAATCCCTCCCTGGCCCCAAATGCTTTTCCTGCTGTCAAATCCCTTCGTGATCCCAAATTCTTCTCCCGATCCCAAATCCCTCCCTGGCCCCAAATGCTTTTCCTGCTGTCAAATCCCTTCGTGATCCCAAATTCTTCTCCCGATCCCAAATCCCTCCCTGGCCCCAAATGCTTTTCCTGCTGTCAAATCCCTTCGTGATCCCAAAGTCTTCTCCTGATCCCAAATTCTTTTCTTCATCCTAAATCCTTTTTCTGATCTCAAATCCTTTCCCAATCCCAAATCCCTTCGAATCCTAAATCCTTTCCCGATCCCAAATTCTTTCCCAGTCCCAAATCCCTTCCTGATCCCAAATTCCTTTCCCAATCCAAAATCCCTTCCTGATCCCAAAATCTTCTCCTGATCCCAAATTCTTTTCCTGATCCCGAATCCTTTCCCAATCCCAAATCCCTTCGAATCCTAAATCCTTTCCCGATCCCAAATTCTTTCCCAGTCCCAAATCCCTTCCTGATCCCAAATTCTTTTCCTGCCGCTAAATCCCTTCCCAATCCCAAAGTCTTTTCATGATCCCAAATCCCTCCCTGGCCCCAAATGCTTTTTCTTCTCTCAAATCCTTTCCCGATCCCCAA